CTATATATAAATATATACATGGAGATGTGGGTGCGTTGGTTTTCCTAAGCAAAGGGGATGGCTGTTTTTAGCTTGGTCAGGTAGCATTTCCGGCAGCCCCCATAAGCCTCCCGACGCTCTAGCCCGCCACTGTGAACATGTTCCACTCGAAATGGAGTTGCCTCCGGCTCCCTTTCGTTGGAGAGAGACTCAACAGAAAACCACAAGTGCCTGGTGGGGGTTTCCTATTTTGAGCCGAACTCGACTTGCTTATTTTGGGGCGACTTACTGTAGTCTTGCTATCATCAATTATTGGGCCGCCTCTCACCTCCAAGCCAAACCACCAAGGTGCCCGTATCTGCTCAACAGAAAGCCTCCTTTGTTGTTTGATGGGCCCTACTGTGAGCAGTTCTTCTCCAAATGCCAAACCACAAATCAAGGGTTAGCTGAGTGAAGGGATTTGTGTTATTTGACCCTCTCACTTGTAAGCGGGCGCTTGCCAAGCTGATCTTTCTCCAAATCCAGCTTCTATAAACTGTTGCAATGTTTACACAAGGCAAACAAGCTTGGCAGATCATTCGGGGTGTGCGCTCCCAACATGCTGTCAGAATGTCCTCTAAAATAGGTTGCGCCCTCCGATCAAAACAAAGCACGCATTAATCAGCGGGATTAACGGGCTTAGCAGTCCTGAGCCAGACATTTCAAGCCCATGTTCAGGCGTTGTTTTTTTTTTGTGCGGATCCACAGCTCAATTCGGGATCCAAAGCAACAAATGTCAACTTTGGATTCATGCGGACCCTGCTGATCAGAGGAACGTTTTTCAAGACCGTTTTCCCATTTGAAGCAACCACCCCATCCTGAATCTAATCGGTTTGGCCGGCTTTGAGCAAAGACTTGAGGACGGCTGGTCATCAACTTCAGCAAGAATACCAACCCCATGGTCCTGCACTTTTCCGGCCTCGCTTTCAACGTAGGCCCGCGCATGGGCCGAGGGAGCGATCTGAAGCATGTGTATTTCCACTTTGGAAGACACTCCCAAGTCTCCCGTAGCAACTGCATGTCTGGATGGATGGCCGAGGTTAGTACCCGTTGACCCATGAAATCCGGGGTGAGCCTTCCGGGAACAAAGGGATCCAACCAAAGAACGACCTGCTCAAGAACTGGGGTGTGTGTGTTGTGAGTTCGGGTTGCATGCAAATACTACGGTTGGCAGGGGTATATCGATCTACCATGTTGGGAAGGCTCAAGAAACAAACAGATACAAATGCCGTTGCGTCACGAGCTAGGCATTTGTAACGATTGCTTTGGAAAGCTTTTGCGGCGGAGGAGCGTCCCTGGGATGGTAAAAGGTACACGTGGACAAGTTGAAGCATCATCTTTACCGGCTGATGCTGTGAAGCAGGCAGGTTTTAACATATGCTGTAAGGAACTTCGATAGTTGCAGTGGGCATCGGTTCATCCTACTTAGCATTTGGGGGCATCTGTTGCTCGCTGCTGCAGATGTTTTTTGTTGAGTTGCTGACTTGAGCAGTGCAACATGTTTGTAAGGTCACCATTTGCAGGGTTCCCTTTTGCAGGCTTTCGGTCTAATTTTGCGACACGGAGATGGAGCGGGGAAGCGGCGGCTGAGTGAGGCGAGCCCGTGCAAGAGATTGAGTTCCTGCAGCTCGACCCCAAGGCGCATACAGTTCGCACCGGCGAAGCAACCCTGGTGAGTCCGTTACCAAACTTGACTGACCTTTTGTGGCTGCCTGGGTTTTTCTTCGTTTTGCAGTTTTGCCCTCCCAGCAGAAAGTCGACTTGCGTGCATTATGTATCGGTGCTTGATGAGTATGTGAAGCAATCAGTGTGTGAAGGGAATGTGTGTGCATGTACATTGCTATGTGTGCATGTACTTATGTGTATATATATATATATACATCTCTCTCTCTCTCTCTCTGCCCATTTGGATACAGAAGCAGGTACACACACAAACACATTTGGAGGCCTCCGGGTGCAGGTTGCTGAGGCTCCGGCTCGCTAGTGCCAGGAGTCCAAGTTGACCTTGCGGCCCTCGGACGACCCACCCGCCATCCAGTGCGAGGGCAAGATCGTCACGCTGCAGGCGCCGAGAGCCGAGAATTCCTCTCGGCGAAGAGCTAATTACCCCACCGGGAAGAACACCTATGTTTGGCGCGTGTTTTTCCCGGAGTCGCATGAACAAAATGGGACGCAGCGACATTAACAAACAGAGGAGCCGCATGGACATCCGAGAATTTATCTGAGAAGCAGACAAGTTCCGAGACGCCCCAAAGCAGAGATTCCGCAATCAATGACCGCAATGGACGCTCCGTTTTCGTTGACAGATCTTTGATCCATCAAATCCATGGAGCTTGCATGGTGGCAGTGGCACTTCCTCCTTTTGCACAACAAATCTATTTCGCGCGGCAGTCCCCAACTCTTTTAGACACGCCAAGAACAAGAGCAGCATTTGACTTCGTGGTCCAAAGCCGACCAATGCGTTTTTCGGACACTGGAGCGCTTTAAACGGGCTCGCCGGCATCAGATGACGTGAGCCTCGAAGGTTTGGCTCCCAGGGAGGCTCCTTTCTTGGAGTACCATGAAATCCCTCGGGGTGGGTGTCGAATGTTGGCGGGGTGAAGCCCAGTGTCCAGAAAGGGACAAAGTGTGGAAAACTCCGGTTGGCTTCCCTGAGGCGCTCAGACAATCATTCCCACTGCACGTGAAAGTTCCCCGATTTTCCTGACCCGGATGGCACATATCACTTATGCTGGCACTGCAAACGACAATGGAAGCCGGGCTCATATGAGTGCCGAAAATGAATCCCGGTTTGAGGATGGAGTTGAAAGCGGGTAGTGACTCAGGCTCGATGGCAAATGACTTTAATACCCCCTGCAAGTGAACATGGCACCCGAAAAACGGCCTCCCCAAAATGAGAAACCGAGATAACTACTGAAGCATTCTCCAAAGGATACACCCCACAACGACATGTTTTCACAGACAATCCTCTAGATCAGCCGGCAAACCTGTGATTTGGGAGCATCTTTTTTTCGAAAAATCCCCAAACTTTGTGGGCCTCTGAACCGGTCGGCCGGTGATCAGCTGGGTATCAGCCCCGCCAGGGCTGCTTGCAGGAAGCCGCCTATGGCTTCGCGAGTCAAAACATTGCGCGCCTGCCGGCAACTCGGCGCGAACCCGCCGGTTTGCCCTGGATGTCGGACCTGTTCTGCTTCAAGAAAAAAACACATGATGTTTCACCAGAAGTTTGTGTTTGAGAGAAAAAAACAGCAAGTTTTGAGTTTTAACTTTCCAGGACGTCGCACCCTCAGAGGTTCAGCTGTTTAGAGTTTTGTTTGGGGGGTTGGATTTCAACTCCGACTTTCAGGTTGTCATCTCCCACCACTTGTTTTAACTCGAGAATCCTTGGTTTTTCAAGCAGAGCCCCCCCCAAAACGAGCTTTAAAGACAAAATGAAAGAAAACACACATAACCCTAACCACTAAACCCAATAACCCTAATCCCCCCCCCCCCACCAAGAAACAAAAACGCGCTTCGAACCAAGGAAGGCTTCCGCCCCCGCCGGGAGATCCGTTGCATGGCGCCGCTACTCCGCAGGTGTCAGGAGGAGCGGGGTGCTTCGCAGGTCTTTCGGGCGGAAACTCTCCTCTTTTTTACTTGCGATCGGTGCGAGAAGTAGGGCATGAGTTGGAATAACCCCGAGTTAAACCATCCAACTGGTGGTTTCCAAGAAGGGGACTCCCTGAGCACCAGCAAGTTTAAATCAATGATAAAAGTTGCTTCATCCGTATTTGTCGGAGGGGTTGGGGTTTTTCATGTTTTCCTTTAGTTGGAGAGGGGTAAAGTTCCCCTTTAAGATCAATTGCCCCAGGGGGCTTTTGAACCGAGTCACTGGGGATCAGGATCTCAGTCCCACCAGCTGTGGGATCTGGGGGTGGGTGGACTGCACGCAACCAGGCTGGACTGTTTTTGAGGTGAGGCCAAGACTTCGCTTAGGATCTTTGGACGCCTGAAAAAGGCACTAGGGGCACCAAAATGGCCAAAAGGAGGGCACTCCTGGGACAAAGTGAAATAGGGGCCTACACTGGAGCACATTGACCTCTGAAAACAGAACAAGGAGAGAAAAACCACCAGACAAAAGCAAAACAAAGCGCATCCATAAAGCAGAAGTCCCACTCTGACATGGCAAAAACCGATGGCTTGCACTGCCCCAGGGCACAGGGGAATCTGGGGGGAGGGGAGGAATGCCATGCTTCTTGAAAGGGGTGTGTTTTGATTTGGCGGGGGGGGGGAACGCAGGGGGACGCAGCAGCGCTGATTTGTTATGTAGTGTTGTTCGTGCTGTTGTTCCGTTTGTGCAGTGCTTGTTCAAATTGATTGTGTAGCCTCACCTGGTCATGCCTAGTGCGATCCTTTGCCGATACACTTGTTTTGTCAGGCTTCGCCTTCTGTTGGTGCTAATCTATGTTTCTGGTGCTTGTGGCTTGTGGCAAGTCACGTCTTTGCTTCGTCATGTTTCTTTTTGTTTTGTTTTTGGTGAACGTGAACTGAGATACGTCGACCCCCATGGTTGCTGCAAGATCATGGCTTGTTTCATGCCGCCCGCGGGCTTGTGGTTAAGTGTGGCGGCCTCGAGGGCCCAAAAGTTGCTGGTGCTTTGCAGGGGATGGCCCAGAAGTGTGAAAATGAACCTAGGACTGCCCGTGAAGGAAATCGCAAGGGACACTTTTTTCGGGGTCATTGGAATCAGCACGGATTTTTGATTTCATCAGGTTCTCAGCCCGCATAGGGTTGGGCCTTCCCAAAAAGAAACCCCCGACCGAGAAAGTTGCTTTCTGCGTGCCGTGGCAATCAATTTCCCGTTTCAGCAGGCACCGCCGGATGCCCTTTAGCAAAGGAACCAGTTCTTAGTTGCTACCCTTTGCAAGGTCTGCTTAGCAAGGGTGCAGGGTTGGCTTTCTATGCTCTCATTAAACATCTCCTAAAAAGATGATGGTAGTTGAGCCATCCAGTTCCCAGTGGGAACGCCCTTTGCAAAAGTCTCCCTTTTTTACAGGCAGAACCGTTTCAGGACTTCGGCCAATGCGACCTTGCCGACGCTTGGCCTCAGCCTGACTTCGGAAGCCTTCGGTTTCGCGTTCAGTGGCACTTTGGTGGTTTTGTTGGTTTGCAACCTTTGGCAATCGTGGCAGTGAATAGCTGGAATATGCTGCAATCCGCCAGTGAATAGTTTGTGATCGTTGATGTTTTGTCAATGCAATCACGACAACTGACCGATTTCGGGCCTCATGATGAAGGTTCGCTTTGACAGGCTTCTTTTTTTCTTATTTCGCTTGTTTCAATTATTGCTCACCGTGCCGTTTGGATCTGCAAAAGTTGTAGGTTATTGGAACTCAACGACTCATCGGGTTGCAGCTTTCGAAGGAGCAGTGACACACACACACACACACACCTTGAGAACTTGAGGGCCCATCGAAGAATCTGGCCAAAATAAAGCTTCCCACTAGGGACCGCCTCTGTTCATCCGGTTGACGTGTCCGAGTTTGATTCCTGGGTTGACCATTTTGGGGTGTCCATTCAATGTGATTTGGGACTCCTTGGCAGACAATGCAAGGTTCACAATTTGGGAGCCTGGGAATGCAGTTCTCCCCCTAACGATGTTTGGGTGTCAACTGGTGGGGTCTTTGCATATCCCCCGGGTAGCTCTCCTAGGCCCCCCAGTAGTGCCCTTCTCTCCCCTTTTTGCGGGAGGGTTCCCCTACTAAAATTCACTACAGAAAAAAGTTGGTACCCTGATTCGAACCTCTCTACTGGAGGACCTGGTCTCTGAAGGCCACGTCCTTGCTACGTCGAAAAAGGCCCCCAACCGACGCCAAGGACCAGAGCATCGCCTTGACGCTGAAGCCCGATGGCACCGTTGCGGTGCAGGGCGGCAACATCCACATGGTGGATCAGCACCTTGATTTACAGAGGAAGGTTCGGGGGCGGCTCTGGGGCGTGGAGGCGCTTGAGCTCCGGGGAACGTCGACGTGGGAACCAAACAACTTAAACATGCACTTGGGATTTGTGCAGCGGAAACCCCAAGTTGGATGCTTCAGTTTGGAGTCTTCCTCTCATTCTCTTCTCAGAACTAGCCTGCTAGCTACTAGTCATCAGGGGCTCATGGCCATGAGTAGCCCTGGACCCTGCAAGAGGGCTGGGCCCATCCCCGTTCGACAGGTCACCAGGGCGCTGTTCGCAATTAAGGGAAGGCCCTACCTTTCGCAAGGCAAAATGCCAAAGTAGGGAGAAGTAATGAAAACACCAATGTTTGACAGTTCGCCGAGCCCTCCAATGGTAGTGCAAATGCTTGTTGCCTGAAATTGGGAATCTCCTTTGTGGCTGGTTCGCAAGGAGAGTGTGCTGAAGGTTCTTACATAGCGATTCCTTAAATCAGGAGGTCGTTCTTTGGTTGGATCCCTTCGTTCCCGGAAGGCTCACAGCGAAGGGTCAACGGGTACGAACCTCGGCCATCCAAGGGCTGACCTGCATTTCTCTTCGGCAAATGGCACCTCCCTTTGCAGACCACCGGCTAGGCTGCAAGCCTTTGCACAAGTAGCGAGCGCTCACCGAAGGGTGCGTGGCGCGATGTGACCTATGACAAAGTGTTGTTTCTGTGTGATTGCTGCTGTAAGAGGTGCCGGTAGCTGCCTCACGTGGAGAATCCCTTCATGGCTGGTTCGAAAGGCAAAGAGGCCAGCACGGAAGCGCCAAAAGCATCATGGGAGGTTGCCAATGAGCACGCTGGAAGCCTTGACAGGGAGGGGCTGTCCCGGTGAGAAGCAAGCAGAAATCAGCATCATTTGTGACGCTCGTGGCTTTCTTCAGGAGCTCGAATTGTAGTTGGGCTGCTTTGGCATTTGGCTAGTGAGGCACCCTGTAGAGGTCTGGGATTGTTTTTGGCACCTTCGTGGCTGGCTTTCGTGCACCCCTCTTGCTCAGGTTTGTTCATGTTTAGCGGGGGCTTTCACAATATTAACATGTGCTTTGCTTTTGCGACCCCGATTGCTCCCGGGCCAGTTTGGGGCCAACGCAGGCGTGTCTTCTCCCAAAAGGAGACTCTGAGGTTGCTCTAAGCGCCCCGTTTTTTGTCGCTCGGTTCCATGCTACCAAAAAGGAGTGCCCCGGGCTAAGCCGAGCTCAGGAAGGGAAATATGCGAGTGCTCCCGCAGAAGAAGGCGGGCATGCTCAGCTTCGACGGTATCCGCTTCTTCCTGGGCAACGATGCGCGCCTTGGGCCTGGAGGGGAGATGTTTGGCAGCGACCGAAAGGTGATGTCAAGGAAAACCATATGGCTGTGGGTCAAAACTCGGTGCCCAAAACGGAACCCTGGAAAACATATGCCCCCCCCCTTTTCCCAGGCCCAGAAAGGCTCTTGCAAGAACCCGTCGAACCCTTCTGGGTGGGTGGTGGGGGGGCTTTATCATGCAGCCTTCATGCAACGACAGCCTTCCGTGTTCGATTCTCCTTTTGACATACCAGCCAAAGAAAACCAGCCACGCCCTCAAGTGAGTGCTGACAAGAGCAACACCTCGCCGAAGGCCAAAGCTAAAGCTCGCTCTAAACACAGCTTGTAAACTTTAAGCGCTCCCGGCAAATGAAAGAAGCACAACAGCGGCTGTTGACGTGTTCGCTTCAGGTTGCCCATTTGAAGTGAGGGAAATTAAGAACGTCTGCAAGATACAAGAAATAACAAACAGACTATGACGCGCGCATGTACTTTGAACTGTGTGTTCATCATTTTCGCTGCTCAGCCAGACGCAGCCTTTGTCTTCGGCGTCCTGAGCCCGGTCAATTTAAACAGAAGCGACGACTGCCCCAGTCCGCTTCTATCGAAGTCGGGATCAACTCAAAATTGATTAAAGCCAGGGCGAGGTCCGGGTTGTCAATGAGGTCCGAATGTGCCACGCCCGTGTCACGCACTTGTGTGTGTGTGTGTGTGTGTGTGTGTGGGTGTGGGTGTGGGTGTGTGTGTGTGTATGGGTGTGTGTGTGTGTGTGGGTGTGGGTGTGTGTGTGTGTGTCTGTGTGTGTGTGTGTGTGTCTGTGTGTGTGTGTGTGGGTGTGTGTGGGTGTGGGTGTGGGTGTGTGTGTGTGTGTGGGTGTGGGTGTGTGGGTGTGTGTGGGTGTGGGTGTGGGTGTGTGTGTGTGTGGGTATGGGTGTGGGTGTGGGTGTGGGTGTGGGTGTGTCTCTGTGGGTGGGGGGTGTGTGTGTGTGTGTGTGTGTGTGGGTGTGGGTGTGGGTGTGGGTGTGGGTGTGGGTGTGGGTGTGGGTGTGGGTGTGTGTGTGTGTGTGTGTGGGTGTGTGTGTGTGTGTGTGTGGGTGTGGGTGTGCGTGTGGGCGTGTGTGTGTGTGTGTGTGTGGTGTGGGTGTGGGTGTGGGTGTGTGTGTGTGTGTGTCTGGGGTGTGTGTGTGGGTGTGGGTGTGTGGGTGTGTGGGTGTGTGGGTGTGTGGGTGTGTGGGTGTGTGTGTGTGGGTGTGGGGTGTGTGGGTGTGTGTGGGGTGTGTGTGTGTGTGTGTGTGGGTGTGTGGTGTGGGTGTGTGGGTGTGTGGGGTGTGTGGTGTGTGTGTGTGGGTGTGGGGTGTGGTGTGTGTGTGTGTGGGTGTGTGGTGTGTGTGGGTGTGTGGGTGTGTGGGTGTGTGGGTGTGTGTGTGGTGTGTGTGTGTGTGTGGGTGTGGGGTGTGTGTGTGGGTGTGGGGTGTGTGTGTGTGTGTGTGTGGTGTGGGTGTGTGTGGGTGTGTGTGTGTGTGTGTGTGTGTGTGTGGTGTGGGTGTGTGTGTGGGTGTGGGTGTGTGTGTGTGGGTGGGTGTGTGTGGGTGTGTGGGTGTGTGTGGGTGGGTGGTGTGGGTGTGGGTGTGTGGGTGTGGGTGTGTGGGTGTGTGGGTGTGTGGGTGTGTGGGTGTGGGGGTGTGGGTGTGTGGGGGTGTGGGTGTGGGTGTGTGTGTGTGTGTGTGGGTGTGGGTGTGGGTGTGGGTGTGGGTGTGGGTGTGTGTGGATGTGGGTGTGGGTGTGGGTGTGGGTGTGGGTGTGGGTGTGGGTGTGGGTGTGGGTGTGGGTGTGTCATTGCTTGCGTTTTCCTCATGCTCTTGGATAGCCAAGCAAAAATAAAACTGGGTCCCTGGTTCTGAACCCTTAAGGTGTGCAATTGTTTTCTTTTTTGGGTGTGGGGTGGTGCAGAGTGGCAAATCCGACACTCTGCTGCACGCTCTTCTTGGTATCCTTTCAGAGTTGCAGTGCCCAATGCCCGGGAAGCTGCATGGGCACTCTGTTGTTGACCAAGTAGCAGGCTGGATGGAGACTGGCCCTCAAGCATGGCGGCAAATAGACTCGCCAAGATTTGTTCACGACTCTTCCAAGTATGGCCTTGCCCTCATGCTGTTCCCCTTCTACTTAGACACTTGCCCAGAACCCCGGGGCAATTGGGTGGCTTCTACGGAACAAACCCGACTGTGTGGCCGAATGTTTTGCGTGCCCGAGGGTGCCCATCGAGCTGTCCTCGCTGCTGAAAACCGAAGAGGAGAAGAAGAAAGACGAGAAGAAGAACAAACTTCTGCAGCTGCTCGCGAAACAAATCGAAACCAACGGCCCTTCCAAAGAAGCATGGGAATTCGCAAGCGGTTTCTGTCAAGCGCTCGCTTTCAGGTTCCGTGTTTGTTTCTGGGAGGGTGGCAGGGAAATGGGAGATGCGAATCACAAAAATGTTAGTTAAGATTGTTCGCCTCTGTTTCCAGCGGTCGGCAAGAAGTTGTGGGCACAGTGGGTTGCATGCTGTGTCGCTTTCCAGGTGTTCAAGGGAGCCTCAAAAGGGGTCACCATCGTGATGACATTAAAGCCCCCAATTCATTTCAGGCATTTCAGGTTGTGTTTGTTGTTCTCTTTGGGGGCTGGGGTCCTTTAGATGCTTTGGGCTTTGGCTTTGCTCTTGTTGGTGTGGGGCCATGGGTGTGTGTGCTGCCTGTGCTAAAACAGCACGCGCGAAAACTGGCGCCCCGTGTGCTCCCCAAACGGTTATTGTTCATGCCTGCTGTTAAGCAAAAGGGCAAAAAGTGCTTTCTGTGTCTACAGCATGGTGCAAGCAAAACAGGGGGACCTTCAAAAAGAACGGTGTTGTTGTGTCCCTACCTTTTTGTGGCAACAGTGGCAGCAGCAGCAGCAGCGGCGGCGGCAGCAGCAGCAGCAACAACAAGGTTGGACGGGGAGGGTTTGCCCGGGAAAACCATGCGAACCGGCCGGGGAGGGTTTGCCCGAAGGACAATGTCAAAGATTAAGTCATAAACACTGCATGGCTCCCACCCATGGAGAACGTGTTGTTTGGCCACCAAAACCTCTTTGCCCCAAACAGCTGTGCTTCAATACAGTTCTGAGCGGGTGCACTTGAGCGGGTGTGCTTACCAGTTGGTGGGCTTGGATACAGTTCTGAGCGGGTGCACTTGAACGGGTGTGCTTACCAGTTCATGGGCTTGGATACAGTTCTGAGCGGGTGCACTTGAGCGGGTGTGCTTACCAATTGGTGGGCTTGGATACAGTTCTGAGCGGGTGCACTTGAACGGGTGTGCTTACCAGTTCATGGGCTTGCATACAGTTCTGAGCGGGTGCGCTTGAACGGGTGTGTGGGCTTGGACACAGTTCTGAGCGGGTGCGCTTGAACGGGTGTGCTTACCAGTTGGTAGGCTTGGATACAGTTCTGGTGGGCTTGGATACAGTTCTGAGCGGGTGCACTTGAACGGGCTTGGATACAGTTCTGAGCGGGTGCACTTGAGCGGGCGTGCTTACCAGTTGGTGGGCTTGGATACAGTTCTGAGCGGGTGCGCGTGAACGGGTGTGCTTACCAGTTGGTGGGCTTGGATACAGTTCTTAGCGAGTGCGGCTTACCAGTTGGTGGGCTTGGATACAGTTCTGAACAGGTGCGCTTGGACGGGTGTGCATAGCAGTTGGTGGGCTTGGATACAGTGGATACAGTTCTGAGCGGGTGCGCTTGAACGGGTGTGCTTACCAGTTGGTGGGCTTGGATAGAGTTCTACGCGGGTGCACTTGAACGGGTGCGCTTACCAGTTGGCAGCTTTTGGCAAGTGCGCTTACCAGCTGGCAGCCTTTTGCAACAACGGCCAGGGGGGGGTTTGCCCGTGATTTTCAAGTCGCGCGCGCGATGTTTGTAAAAACGATGCCCGACGTGCGACTAATAACATCACGCTGACATGAAGATGTCAAACAAAAGCGCAGTCATTATCTGCGAAGAAATGCACATGCCCAGTGATATGTGTAAGATATGCTGCGTTTTACAGCACGTCGCGCACCCATCTGCCGCGGTATGTGCCAAGGCATCGTGCGTCACAAGGCTTCAATGCACTGATGACAAGACAACGAACGCAGGTATAGTTTCGACTCTGCCGACAGCCAGATGTCCTGGTAAAAATAAAACAACTTAGCAATCACATGTCCGACGTGCTGCGTTTTACAGTATGTTGCGCTGCTGAAATCCCGGGCAACCCCCCCCCGTTGAGCCAACAAACAACAACAACAACGGCAGCGGCAGCGGCAGCGGCAGTGGCAGCGGCAGTGGCAGCGGCAGCGGCAGTGGCAGCGGCAGCGGCAGCGGCAGCACCACAGCTAAGGCAAAAGCAAAAGCAGCAGCAGCAGCAGCAGCAGCAGAAACACCAACCATAACCACAACCACAACAACAGCAGCAGCACCAACAGGCAAGCAGCAGCATGAGCATCAGCAGCAGCGATGACGACGACGTCAGTAGCACCTGCAGCCTGCAGTTGTTGTTTGCTTGGTTGGCGTTTGGGCTTGGCAGTCTGGACGAAAGCCGCGATTCTGAGGCTTTTTGGGCCCCGGGTGAAGAACACGGCCGTGGCCTGCAAGCAAGACGGCATCATTCTGCTCGAGGGCTCTCTGGATTGGCAGCTTGGAACGTCCAAGAGGGTGGCACACGTGCATTTGCCGTTCCCTGATAGTGAAGGTTCCATGTGATAACAGCATCAATAGTGGGCCCGTGAGCAGTGCGGGGTGGTGCCTTCCTATCTTGGGAAGTTTGTTCTCTCGCCCTTGGTATCTCGGAAGGTGCAGGCGGCCCCTGCCCCTTTTCAGCTTACCCGCTGTCCTGAGGGCCCGGGTAAATGCCCATCACTGGTTTGCAAATGGCTTACAATCCTTGGCAATTCTTTTTGTTGCAGCAATGTATACACCACACGCTCCCGTCCAACGCAGCCTTCACCCCCAAACAAAACAAATGGAGCCTGATTCTGCCTGACTGATGCATCGCTTGCACTACCTAAGGGATGCCAACCGCCCGCTGCACAACAAGCAGGTCATCGCCACCTTGCCCAAAGGCGCGGCGAGGTCAGCCTGCGAACCCAGTTCAAGCTTATTCCTCTTCCCTTTGAACTTGGCATTTTGCTGCTAAAAACGGTGAACCTCAAAAGGGGTGGGGTGCCTTTTTGCACAAGGCTCACTGAACAATTAAGTAATCAAAAAGATTCTGCTTATACTGAATTCCTCCTCCAGAGGCTTGTATTGCTTGGTCGTCGGGACGGTGTCTTGTATCCTCTGGCGGCGGTGCTTGAATCTGTTCCAAAGTTTAGGTTGGTTGCCCTGACTGCGTCGTAGTGGCTCAGGATGAGCAAGGGATTGCCTAGAGAGCGGGGGCTTTCAGCAAAATGACATGAGATCTGTGATGCTGGCCACGATCTTTGTGCTTACAGAAATGAAAGCACGTGTTGGAAGAACACGGACCGTTACATGTCTCCCCCAAATCCGCACACGGGATTTTGGTGAAGAGAAAGTCTACTTTAAATGGGGGTCAAAGAGCCCAGCCGGTTTTTGCTAGGATTTTGGAGGCGGCAGACTTCCTGTGGCTTGCCAATTGGTTCTCCACTAATATATTTTGTACTTCGGGGTAGGCTACATGAACAGAATCAGGATTTGTTTCATCGTGGCGTCTCCCTGATGCGAAAATCGGCCCAAAAAGTCTTTTCCGTCCTGCATGCGCCAGGATATTGGCCCCGGCGCCGCGAGACGTTCTTCACTCGCGGCTGCCAGGAGGCATCTGGGGAGCTGGGGTGCTTTCATGGGCGTTGGAAGTCAAGTTTCGCCGTGGAAGTTGTTTAAGGCTGGGGTACACGTGATGGTCACAGACCCCAGACATGTCTCTTGCGGCCGCTTGCCACGTGCAGGGGTAAAAGAGGTGTGTCGGTTGCTTACGTGGCAAACGCCATGAAACCACCTCCTGAATAAACTGATCGCATCCAATATGGAGGCAAGTCCATGTCTTCATTATTGTTGTTTATGGGAGGGATGAGCGTTCCTGATGCCGGTCTGCATGTCAGCATAGTGCGTCATAGCGTGTCATAAACCTTATTCTCAGCTGTCACAATGGACACTGCTTCCCCATTTCACTCCACTTCGATGAGTCAACACCCTCCGGATCAATGTTCATCCGGATTTACAGACGCTGTTTGACAGGAGTGCGGTGCCCCGAAAAGTCAAGGCTTCCCGTGAAAATCGTAAGCTTTGGGACACCCGCTACTTTATACCAGTGCGTTACTAATTCCAGCGTTTCAAGAGCAGGGGGCGGTTGCTCACCTGCAACTGCATTGGTCACGACTGACCTACCTTACTGTAAAACTGAACAGTTTTCCTCTTTGAAGTATTAATGATGATGGATTCCTCCTCTTCCAGGTGGGTGGTATTTCAATGGGAGATATGGATAGATGTGGAACAAACTATGGTAATACTTCATTGGGCGCTTCCTAAAGTAAGAAATGTGTTTCCTTCTGGGTCCCTTGCAAGCTCGTTGGCCTTTAAACCACCCACCAACGCCCAATTGGAATTGCCAATGTCCATTTAATCATCCAAAGTTGAGTCCGCAGAGCTTCTTTGGATCAGAACCCTTCCGAAATCCCAGCCGTCGCTGTTGCGGACCCCATTTTTCCACATCTGCAAAGATGTTGGCCACCACAAAAGGACCTGGAGCAATATTTCAGGGTGCTCCTGCGCTTTCAACCGAAGAAGGAGTCTAAAGGGAGAAGGGGCCTTCGTGTTCAACCGAAAAAGCCGTCCAGCAAACCCAGCAAACCCTGCGCGCGTGCGCGCGCCGGGCGCGCACGCGTGACAGGAGCGGCGCAGGGTGGACATCGACGTCTACGGCCGCATCTTTTGCACCGAAGGCAGCGCGTAGCCAATTCGGGTCGACGTGTTTGGTAAAAGGGCGTTGTTGTAATGGTAACCCCGGATTAATAAGATGCTTAATATGATGCTGCCCCCTTTTTGTGGGAATCCTTCACTTTTGGAGGAGAACAGTCCCCTATGAATAGGCCTATTCATCCGGGGTCAACATTTAGTATGTTGAAACCGAATCGAGGTGACACAACCACCCAATCAGCCTTAGACCACGAAAGGGTTGACAATAGGTTGAAGCTCGGGGTGCAAAATCCATATCTCGTGCTTACGCCAGGCTGTGGTGGATTTTTTTTGTGTGTGTGTGCACGTCCCACTGCACAATCCGGCCAGAATCAGCCAAATTCGACTTGTTGACATCTTGTGTGTAGATCCTGGTGTTTCCAACGGGCTTCAATTAGGCTGAAGCTAAATATTCCCAGTGATTTGGGAAGCCTTTGGGCGCGGTTTTGGCGGCAATGTTCTTACCGAAGCCACGGACCCGGACCTCTGCAAAACCGAAATCTTCGCTTGCTGGCGTACTGAGGCAACATGCCTTGACTGCTATCGAGTTAGATCTTTAGACCTTAGCTTTTTGGAAAATCAAGGGCTTTTCCACTGAACCAAAAAAGTTAAACTTTGTGCCGAGGGGTCAACAGCAACAAAGATGCACTAGTATTGGTAAGCAACCCTTGTACAAGCTACTTCTTTGACATTCATTCAAAATCAGGTCGATAAGCCTGGCATAGGTGGCAATCAGGGAATCCCAAAACTAGAAGGTACTTCGCGGCAGAGGCAGGCGTCTCGCAAACATAAGCCCGCTCATCCCCAGCTTTAGGCTTGGGTGAAGTTCACGCAGCGCACTGGCTCTAAAGCGCATGCGGTGGGCGCTGCCGTTCTTGATGCATGGCCCTCGTACTCCTGTTTCAAGTTACAACACATGTGCCAATGCACAGATAGATGCGTATCCCTACAACCCCCTACTGACAAATGGTGAACTCCGACAGCATTCTCAAGTGCCCGTCGATGGTGGGTTTCATCTCAGTGGGGAGGGTATACCCCTTCCTGCCACTAGCACGGCACCCGTGGGAAGGTACCTGGAAGATCCATTTCCTCTTGAAGGGACCCAAAGAGACGGCCTACAAGTTCCAGGGTGGCAAACTGACCCGCCATGTCCTCCAAAAAGCCAACTCATGCAAAGGGGCTACAAGGACTAATGTGGGTTGCCGAATTGGAAGTGGGCAGTGTTGGTGAAAGCCAACCCCGCAAAGAAAAGAGAGAAGCAACACACAAGCAATTGTGCAAAAGACAGAAGTCTAGATAACGTCTTGGATGTGGCTTTTGTGGATTCACCCCAGTAGAATATTAAACGAGTACTAAAAGTTTACAAGAAAAGGACTAACAGGTCGGAAAAACCGGCGAACTCCACAAAAAGCACCTCTCCAAACCATTTTCTAGAAGGATTGTAAAACAAGCAGGGTCGCAACAACGCCAAGGCTTGTGCTTAAGGGACCCAGCTGCACCTTTCTTTCCCGGTCTCCCCCTTGCCGAGAGGTGCCGACAGAGCCAGTGACGGGGGCGGCGGATACGTGGACCTCAGCGGCATCCTCTTCATCGGGGCCGCGCAGCCGCCGAGCGGGGCGCCGCTGGATCCGGACACGGACGACCTGACGCCTGGCGAAGAGTTGGATCCCGAGGTTCTGATTTGGTGGGCGGCGGGAGCGAAGGACAAGGACCGGCATCCAAGAAACCGCCATCCATCCCATAGGCGTGCTTTTTGGTTGTTTTGGTCGAAAAATAGAGGGCGATTCCTGGTTTACCTGGTGGTTTAATCATGTTTAATCATCTAGCAGGGCCACCTATTTGCTCTAAAAGGACACCCCTTCTGATTTGGCTGTGGGTCAAAACCGCTTGGGATCCCATTTTGGGGTAGGTGAATTCACCACCCATTTTAGAACCTATTTTAGTGGGGATTGGGATGTTCACTGGACTGGGGGTACGGGAGTTTGACCCATGGCCTTTTGATGAGGACGGGGGTTAACGGACGACAAGGACCGGTATCCAAGAAACTGCCGGTAAAGAGGGAGCTTTTGGGAGCTACCAGCTCTGAAAGGACATACTTGTAGGACATGACCGATTCCCGGTTCATTTACTCGGAATCAAAGTGGCCAGTTTGACTTCCATTCTGGGGGGTCGCCTTGTCCGGGCATGACCGATTGGACATTTGACCTGGCACATGTTGCACTTTTCGACGTTGTTGGTAACTCGGCGTTGGTAACTGATAGCATCCCCTTTGCTGTAGGAATGTTCTTTTCCGATGCAAATTCTTGGAGCAAGAAATGAGCCTTCACCGCCATTTGGATCGCCACACAAAGTGCTAGTGTTTGGCCTGCAGGGTCGTTGCCATGAAGGGCCCCACTCGCAATCGCTGGGTGAATCATCATTTCGGTCGGGATTCATGTCCACCAATCACTTGTACGGCGGTTTCCTATTTCAAGGCATAGCCAACATTACGCCGCAAAAGATGCCAGACCCATGTATGTGCTTGTGAAGCTTCACTGCAGGACTGCAGTGATGCTGGATTATTGTGTTCCGGGCGCTAAATATTTTCAATATAGACGGCAAAATCATGGTATTTTTGCCAGACCCTCAAGTAGCACCCAGCGGGTTTTCTCCAGGCGCTTTCAATGTCGTCTCATCCAGAATGGGTCGGTCCAACTCTCCGAGGCGCCTGGTGTACAACCCCAACACCTCGGAAGTTCCGGCGCCGTGGTTCAGAAAAATGGGACTCCAGCCTGACTGACAAGAAGCCGCATTGGGTTTGTCATTTTATTAAAACCATTGCGCTTACATAAGCCCAATGCAAGAGTACCTGGCACCTATGGTGTGAGCATGTTTCTCCCGTTGTTGCTAGCAAGTGGACAAAGAAGCCCGCGACAGAACGCCAACGAACCACCAACCAACCACCAACCAAAAATTAGCAAACAACCAGTCGAACGCCAACCATTACATAGGCAAGCCCTTGTCTCTGTCAATGAGTACATAAACAGCGGGCAAGAAGGTGCAAGAGGGCCTTTGCCTTTGTCGTCTTCTTGTGAATGGCAGCGACGTCCATCGAAGTATTTGATGCCCCCAAGGGCCATAGATGTCCATCTTGGTTGTTTTGGTCGAAGAATAGCTGGCGATTCCTGGTTTACCTGGTGGTTTAATCATCTACCAGGGCCATCTATTTGCCCTAAAAGGACACCTATGCCAAGGTCCATCATCTGACAAGGGCATGGCGGCCGCCCTTCCAACAACCCACAAAGCATGGATCGAGATGTTGGGCGTGGAAAAAGCCACGGCAGGTGCCGTGTGGGTTATCAACAGCTTCTTGTCTTGGTGGTTCCCAGCCATCCCCCTAGGTTTTCAGCGGTAGGGTTTAGTGGTAGTTTCCACTAAACACTACAAGGTCACAAGACGGAAATCTGGGAAAAGCCCAGGTTTTGATCAGAGTGTTTGAGGGCTTTTGTGGGCCATTGCTAGTTTCAGGTTGCTTTGGGTCCAAACACCGCGACTTGCCGAGCTCCTGGGTACGAAAGCAATCTTTGCACTGCAATGCAGCAGATGGCTTTCTATGCGTGTCAGAATTCTCCGTGGTTTGGCGTTGCTACAATTGGCGACGGCAACGACAGTAAGGGTTTCCATCGGGAGCTATGCCCAAGTCACACCCAGAGCCGCCATTGTGTGCCATCGCTTTCTGGCCACCAATAGTGACTCTGTTTAGAAGGGCAATCCTGGCAGCGCTTTGCCGAAACTCCCATCATCATCCCGACCACTATATTAAACACTGATCAGACACTGATCCTTTTTAGAAGGTACTTCAGTGGCGCTCTAAAAGTGCTTTTTGGGCTTTGTGGTCGGAAGTCGGGGTTTGCATGTGAGTTGGTCCGATCGAGGCATCTTCCTTCAAAGGCCGGGAGTTGCTGGAGAAGTTCATCAAGAGGTGCAACGTTTATGAGCCTCGGCCTGCAGAAGGTCGGGCAACGCTGAGGGGAGGTCTGGCAAGGTGTAAGGATACTCTTGGAGCCATGGGGCCGTGCAGGGCTACAATTTGTAAAGGGAAGCAACTTACCATCAAAGATGCCCAAACAACACTAGCTTTCTTCAGAACGATAAATACGGGCCAGAGCCTCGAAGACGGAAACTCCGCTTGAGGTGGAACGGCATTTGTTCGGCTGCCGAGGTCCCAAAAGGTCCAAAGGGTCAGCCAATTGCCGGGGACAAGATCGTCAAACTCGTATTTTGACGAGCAAGGAATTTAGACGGGACGGAATCGCTGAAGGCACTGTTTTGGATTCATCAAGTCAAGTTCAAAAGGCAAATCATAGTTGCAATTTGACATGTGAAGAAACCCGTTAAAAACATCAATTTGTCTTGGGGAGCCGTCTGAGAGCCCCTGATGCCACTGAAGTTGGGAGGAAAGCTGGGAGTTTCGAATTGAAGCCTTGCCTAATTCTATTTTTGTGCTTGCACATGTTGGGTCTGATCTGATTTATTAATAGGGGGAAGAGACTATTTGAAGGGCCAACCGCAGGTTTGGGTGGGCTTTTACTTGTGGGCTTGTTTCTTTTGCCTGGGTACTTCTTGGAAGACAATTATTTTGCTGTGCAAGTAAATACTTTGGACGTGCTCGGGCGAATCCACTCAGGACGTAGTTGGCGAACAAATCTTGGAACATTGCGCGCTTGGGGGCCAAGCCCCTGCTTTTGTTAATGTCTGGTATGTCCTAAAGCTGGCAACTAAATGGCACATGGTGTTTGATTTACCCAACAGGACACCCAAAGAAGGGGTGATTGTTTTTTTGGTCAGCCCACTATGGAACAACAGAGCTACTCAACCCCACATGTTTGAATCGATTGTGGGGACACCAAAAAAAATCAGGACCTCGGTTGGAGGCAGGCCACCCGCATAACCAATGATGAAGGATCTCCTGAGGGTTTTCTGAGTTGAGGTGCTACGCTCGAACCATGCCTTTGCTGTCATTAAGGGGTGGCCTTAACAACCACGTCCCAACGGAGAAAAAACAAATGCACCATCGGGGGTAGACGCTCTGAGTTTTTGTTGGGTTTTTTTCCGCTCAACCCTCGGCTTGAGCCGAGGAATGGAAGCTGTTGCACAACGCCATGGCAAGGGGAGCGGGCCGGAGGATGCTAACTCCTCTGGGGGACTCTGTGAAGATTCGGGGCCGCCCGGTCGCCGGACTGGGCCGGTTGGGTGACGTGCCGGTCGCTGAATTTCAGTCGCCTGCAAACAGCTGACATGGACACCGACCAAGGGAGTCCACTAAAATGACGTTCCTCTCACAAAATGCTCTTGCTTGGCTGGCATGCTAAAATGAATGTCTCTTTGGGTGCAGCGATGTCAACGGGATGATGTCCAAAATAGAACCAGCACGGGCCAATTCGCAATAAGGTTCGCTCGAAGTGGTTCTTGATGTTTATAGGGACATCTGGCAGTTGGCCAGGGAGGTGGCGTGGGCTTCCCTAGAGGGGAGGCAGATGCAAGCAGAGGCCAGTTGGTGGTAAGTTGGGCCGGACATTGGGTGTTTTGCTCATTTGGGGTGGAGGGAAGCAAGTAGCGAGTGGGCTTACTTCGGATGGAGCACATCAAACCCTCGCTCTCTTCGACATGCTTCCATGCTTCCCATTGGCAAATTTGCAGAAGTGCTCAAGGTGGTGTTCTGAAAGCTGGGGATGACTTTTGCTTCCCTTCAGCCATTGGTCAACGGGGGGGGGGGGGCTCGAATCTTAGCGCGAAACACGT